TGAATCCAAAAATTCAAGACATTCACTAAATGAGGAAACAAGAATTCATTCAACATCGATTAATTGATTAAATTTTGCATTAATTAATCGGTGGAAGAATGGCAAAAATATAAATATTATTAACTCCGTGAAACAAAAATGGGAAAACAAGAAAAAAACGGATCGGTCCATTGGTTGTCGAGATATCCCTGCTTGTAGTTCTGCCGTGTTCCCTTTCGGTCACCCATTCTTTTTCTGGTATTACTCGCTAATGCTCAAGCTCAGTGATCGCAGGATATCCCGGTATGCTTCTGAGCTGTACAGTTGCTTGTGGCGAGTTGTATTTTTTTCGGGTTTATATAAGCAACTAATAAGAAGAAAAATAGGAAAAAACAGAAAGAAAGTAGGCACTAGAGTGATACAGGAAATTGAGAGGAAAGCAGCAGGGGGAGGAGATGAGAGGGAATTAGAGTCCATATAGGTCTAAATGTCACCAATTAACGATATTTACACTATTTACACCACAAAGGTTATACAAATGACACTGATTATTTTCCACTGATAACTCATTATTTGGCCCGATAATTTAAGATGAAATAACTGTGATAATAACGGTTGATGAATGATACAATTTTATAGTGATGCCCGTGAATACCGAGATGTATACCCTATACGTGATGAAGTGATAGCGATATGTATCTTCGAAAAACCAATGTGAACTCTATGCCTGATGAATCCATACTCCCGCGAGGGCCGGTCGACCCCAATGGTCTCTCGAACTCAAAGCCCGACCTCATCCGATTATTCCTGACTGGCCCATACCGCGAACCAGTCTCAATTTTAAACACAGTCCTTGGCATCAAGTATTCACCACAAAAATGGAAAAGTTCAATTTTTTTAACCTGATATTATCTCCAGTCGAGGAATTATCTACTTTCATGAATTGATAAAAAATTCGTACCTAGGAGATGATTTCATATTAATTTTCAATCTATTAAAAATTCAATTGAATGTAGTATTGAACTGTTTAACAGTTATTTATCTACCCACTTTCATATCTCTTCTCCCCATTGTTACCATAAATGCATATAGAAATTAAGAAATTTCTGAATAGTGTCAATTAAATGCCTTTGAATTCCGAAATATCCAATAAACTTATTTTCATCGTCCCATTATTCATCCTGACATTTAAAAAAATCGACTTTACATGAATTGTTGGAAGCCTATCGCTTGATTAGGTGTCAAGTAACCAGCAAAACAGTTGAGGCTTGAGTAATGGGCTTCACCATCCTCCAGTCTGGCTATTTGACGCGTGCCCACCATTCATGGATTTTTTATCTCCACCTTTTCTCACCTTTAAATGCCAACGAGATGAGTTACGACGGTGATTCCCCTCGCTCCGGACTTGAATGAGAGAGTTACGCGCTCATTCATTCTTCAGACAACCGCAAGATTTTTAGAAACAATTTTCACGTGTTCTTGGACCTGGTGAGGAGACCTCGAGGTGTCCTGATACCTCTTGGGTCGGAATTATCAAAGTTTCAGGGGCAAGAGGGGAAAGGAGAGAAAGAACTTCGTGTCTATTTATTTTTCAGCGAGTGGCAATAACAATTTTGCGCCCTATACCAGAATAGTACGGCTGTTGGAGTCACGCGAAGTACGTGGAGTACGTGTAACCAAGTGATATTACTAGCAAATAGCCTCTAGAGGCGAGTCATCAACAGAATATTCATGGAAACTTAACAATGTTCAAGTTTACCACTTCGTTATTATACTTTGTTTCGTTTAATTAGTTTTTGTGGAAGTTTCTGATGTTATGTTGGGGTATTTTTTAAATTGTTGCGGAGTGGGTTATTATCTTTCAAACTAGGCGTTAATTAATTTGTCGGTAGTATGGGGTCATCGTAAGATTTATTTGACTCCTCAGTTCATTGATGGGGAATGGAGAGACGAGATGAACGAAATTTTTACGATGATTAGAAATATCATGGGAAAGACGGGGCGTCCGCACTTTTTTCCTTTGGAAAAAATCTTTTGGAAAAAATCTCTCGGAAAAATACTTTTTTTTCAAAATTACTTGTGAAAAAATTTTTTCCGGAAAAAACTATTTGAGAAAAATTTTTTTCCGGAAAAAATTGTTTGGCAACTTTTTTTTTGGAAATAATTTGGCGGTATTAATTTTTTTGAGAAAAAATAACTTGTGTTAATGGAAATAATTTTGAGCTCACAAAATTCCCAAGGATACCTATATATTTGGGTATTAGCCACGGCACAATATAAGCACCACACGAAACAGTGTCATAAGTGGGGGAAATTAATCTCCAGTCGATTGTCGCTATCCCTTCCAACGTCAATTTTACTATCGTACCATTCACTACATTTCCAGCTAGAATCTAAAGCCAAAATATGCCCATTAAGTCTGAAATTTCCCTGAACTTCTGTCAAAATTATTTTCTGTACATTTTTTATGTAAAAAATGGATACTATTTTTTTGTTCTGACATTTTTTCCAAGGAAGTAAAAAAAAATTAAATTCCGGGAAAAAAAATTTCCCAAGTAATTTTTTCCGAAACAAAAAATTCCCAAGTAATTTTTTCCGGGAAAAAAAATTTCCCAAGTAATTTTTTCCGGAAAAAAATAATTCCGGGAAATTTTTTCCGGAAGTTTTTTTTTTTAGGGAATAAGTGCGGGAACCAAAGACGGAATTTAGTGTTGAAAGTTTTTTAGTTATGCACCCAGAAAAATAATTTATTTAAAGTTGTGTTTATATTAATTAAATGTTTTTTAAATATTTATAAATCTTTATTTGATCCAAATAAATTATTTATTTATACCATATGAACAGTTTTCTGACATTAAGAAAAAAAATTTATTTGAATCATATAAAAATTTTTGCTTGGGGGGGGGGAATTCTATTTTATGGTTTCACTATCAGGGAGACAATAGTGAAAGAAGGTCGTATATACTGGAGTGAAAAGTGTAATCAAACAAGCAGAGGTTCGAGCCGATTCGACAGAAGAAATGTGACCGTTACTTCATCTATTATTTGCCTTTTTTATTTTTCATTTCTGCCAATTGCATTGGTAGTAGGCTTCCGAATGGATTCGTAGGAACTTCATTATTTGGATTGAAAATCGACAATTTCTATCAAATTTTATGATTTTAAGCAAGCTATACTCTACAAAGAGAAAAATAGTGCCTGATGATTCAAAAAGCATACTTACGTTAAATTTTTTCAATAATTTCGACCCATTACGTCATACCCTGTCCTTGTGACAGGCATCCATATTCGACAGGGTGTTTAGAAGAAGATATTCGACCTTTCGGTCAAATGGATTTATACAAAAAATTGAATATCTCCAGAACCACTTGGCCGATTGCGCCCATCCAAAATATGAATCTTAGATATCATAAGAGCTATGATCATACTTAATTTCAAATTGCTATTACCATTTTTCATCAAGTTATCATACGTACAAGGAGGAAATAGCAAAAAAACATCAAAACGGGAATATCTCTGAATCTTTGTATGGATATATGGACGTCTGACAGAACCTGGGTTAAACTCTGGCTGAATCCTGAATTAACCTTAATTAAATCCCGGTTATGCACCGATTAAACCTTGATTGAACCTCGATTAAACCCGGACTGTAAACGAATTCGAGTCTTCAGAGGGTTTGAATGTAGAATGATTTGACAGAACAAAATAGTGCGCAAAATTTTGATGACATTTCAATTGATGATAGTATTATAACATGAAAAAATAGAAGAAAAGTATAGTAAAATAAGAATTTAAAAAAGAGAACCCATTTAGAAACAAATCGCTAATTTATTCGCAACAATAAATACACTCGTTTAAAAAAAAATACACCTGTCCACTTGTTTGAATCGTGATGAAACAATCATTTCATTCGTTCGGGATTTTTAATTACTCAATTGTAGAGAAATTCCGGGAGGAAATACTTTCGCGATTATCTCAGTATCTACTGCAGTAGAAAGGGTTCTCTCGGGCTTTTACGCCTGAAATTTATTTCCGTAGCTAATGGTCCCACTCTCATTACTGATACTTCAATTATTCAACAAAAATGGTGTACGCCTGGTATAAACATTTGCCGTAGACCCATTAGGTTAATTAAATTACTTCATTGGTGAATACAGTTCGAGCGGAGGAATTAATTAGAGAGTGACACCACACCTGTCAACTTGAGGTGCTCATCATGTACTGAGCGCAATCGACTATTTGTCGAACATTATTGCAAGTCACTAGTCAAGTAATGGAAAACGTGTAAATAAAACTTCCAACATTTTTGTTAGAATTTCAGGTTAAATTTTTTTAACAGTGGAGTGAATCTAAGTGTTAGTCCAGGGTAAATGGATTGACAGAACTTAGAATTCATGTGATTCAAAATTCACGTAAATGTTCTAGAAGTCGAATAAAATGGAATGAAACATAAAAATAATTATATAGTCTTGCAATCAAATGCCATCAAAATTATAATCCAACACTGGTTTTTTTCAGTATTCATAACTGAAAATTAATATAAAAAATAAATTCACTGCAGTATTTTTACCATAAAATACCCGTAAAATTCTGTTAATCCCGGTATCATGTATTTTAAAATTATGGCAGGTGAATGTAGTAAATTTAAAACACTAAATAATAAAGCTGCTTTTCCCGTGAGGGAATTTTACAATACTCCTGTATGCGCAGATTTATCTTATGTAAGAAAAAATTCCTATACGATACCTTAAAATACGTTGTTGTGATTGTTGTGATTGTTGTGTTGTGATTTTACCACTCTATGTGTGAAAAAAACTTCCAACATTTTTGTTAGAATTTTGGGTCAAATTAAAAAAAAAATGCATCATTTCCTTCAGTGGTTCCAAATATCCCTAAAAAATCCGCAAATGAGCATTAAGCCGCGCGATTACGCGAGTTGTCACGTAATTTCCCCTATTTATTCCTCACTGACCGAGAAACTCTCCCCGAAAATTCGAAACAAAATCCGCACAAGTGCTCACCAAAAAATTCAGAATCTCCTTTTCCCCGGTAGCATCAACCATAGACAGCTCACACTCCCATGAAACTTCGCATCAATAATCCACAGTTCACTGAAGTTCACAACATCAAAGCCTCCAAATTTCGAATCAAATCACAAAATCTCTCGCCCGATAAAATCCCAAAAAAATGCCAACTCTGCGACCCCACTGGCCCCTCAAGCCGGTTGATTCCGTGAAATCACACCAACTTAATGATCAATATCACTCTGATCTCATCAATCTCGCTCGACGATCCAGAGGAATGGTTCGTCAATCGCCGTTGGGGACGGTCGTTTCTCCTCCAATAACTTCCACAAAATTAAGCCTCATCGGCTTCTCCGAGCGTTGCATAAACATACTCGAGTATCAGAAATCTCGGACAGAAAATAACGAATCAATTTTAAATTTTTGCATAAAAAAAATGTCATTCACAAATTCCCAAATTATTTCCACTTAAATTCAACAATTCTCATTAAATTCTAATTATTTTAAACATCCACTTATTAATTAATATTAATAAATCATAATTATTGCGATCTCACGGTTCAAAAAATTCCCCACAATTAACTTTACCCATCAGTTTTGATTTCCAACCCAATTTTCCTCCACTCACTTTAAATTATTATCACTAGAATAATTTTATTTATCAGCATTAAATGTCAATTATAATTGTTATCATCACTAATTCTCGGGATTATTATTTATTTTATTGATTAGAATCGTTGCAATACTTCACAATCCACAAAATTCCCTACACATCGTTTAATTTAATTCTTCAGATTTTTTAGTTTTGTTTTCAATTAATTAACTTCATGGATCAATTGATTTAGGATGTGCCCAGATCCTTGATCACGTCTGAACTGGAATGACGAAGGACTCGAGAGGATGTTATGTAGCACCAGCAAGTGATTGTGGTGATGGACAAGGGCACACACTGCGTCGGCCGCCACCAAACGAAGTGTGGAGAGGGGCGAGACTCTCTGGTGGCTGTCTGGGGGGAAGGGAGTAAAGTCAGAGAGCTCGTGGCACTCAGCCTGCCGGCACGTAGCGTACTGCCACGTACTGGCTCGGGCTCCCAATGCGCTACTATCCAAACCAGCGACACAACCAACGGGCGCAAGCTCCTCACCTCTCTCTGTACTATTCCTGGGCCACTGTAAGAACTGTATGGTACCTGTGCGAATGAGGTGTATGTGGGTTGAGGAGGGTTCTTGTTGATTATGTGACCTCTTGAATTTTTTGGAAATTGGACGGGTGCACGCGGAGGAATCACGTGGGCTAATCGAATGAAAGCCGTTATTGGAAATTTTTGTATGAGTTTCAATAACTTTTTTATCCTGGGGAAAATCAAAGAATTTCTACAGTTTTGCTTCCGAATTGAAGTTTTGTAATCGCTCAAATTCAAGTTTTCTATTTTTTATGTTAGAATAATTAAATACGGGCTAAAAAGTCCGAATATGCGATTTTTAGATGGTATGTGTCTGTATGTATGTATGTGGTCTTTTTTCTCCATTTTTTATAATTATTTTTCTGAAATTCTCAATCAAGGGATTAATCGAATTTCATGATTTTTTCATGAATATAGACTCTAATAAGATCTATTCATTGACACCGATTAAAATTCAATTTTTCATACAGATAGGAAAAAATTGATATTTTTACAAAAATCTGTTTTTCATGATTACTTCACGTAAAAAATATAATATTATTTTTTACTATGTGAACATAGTACGAGCACCATATTCGACACACTCAAAATTGACTATTGAACATAATAAAAATTGCGAATCGGTATAGTGGAAAGTGGTAGAATAAAAGTAATAGTATATTTCGATACGATTGCGGGAGTGTTGTTGGGCTCGTGGGAGGTTTACAGCACGAGCCGAAGGCAAGTCATATAATCCCACGAGTCGAAAAACACTTTTTCGTGTCACGACACGAAAATTAATATACACACCTCGCCATGGAAAACATATCCCCCTCCCCCACGTGCAAGATTGTCTTCCGAGCCGAAGGCGAGGATTTGGAGGCTCACTCCAAATTCACCATCCCCCACATGCTTGCCATCCTCGCCTTCGGCTCGGAAGGCAATCTTGCACGTGGGGGATGGTGATCTGTTTTCCAAGGCTCGGGCATGTAATGTACTATTCCCGCGAGTATCGAACCCTATTTTTCATCACAATGTGTGGGAAGTGAGGTTTTGCGCACGCGAAGCATGCGTAAAATGTCACTTTACACACAGCGTGATGAAAAATTTAATTTGACACAAGTAGAAATTCGCTCAAGATCAATCACATTTTAAAGTTGTTTCGGTATGTTCCTCAATTACTATGTTCACATTGTAATTGTTAATTTTACGAGATAGGTCGTCTCATCTCCTCACGTAGTGGCTCTTCGGTTTCAGTCTTACGCTTACGCTTATTCGAGATTTTCGACATATTTCGAGATGGATTTCCTTTCTTCTTTTTACAATGGGATATTCGCTCCGTGAGAAAGAATCATCCATAACATCAATTAAATCAGGGCTTGAAAAGTATATTTCAATACCTTCTTAATCAAGTTCAAAAATGGTGAAATCAGCATCATTGCTTATCGAAATATGTGGCAGCGTATCGCCCAAGGAAATCGTTTGACTCCGACTGTCCAACACCTCAGATCAAGCGCTGCCGGGTATCTATGCATGAAGTACCTACCCCCTCCACTACCGCCGGATCGTGCCTATTAAATAAAATAACTAGTGGATTGGGCTGTTGGTCGCTCGCTGCGCTCGCTCCCATTGCGGGTGGATTGGTAGCGGATGTATTCATGTGGGTCTGACCCGTCGGACGGGTCGCACCAACAACTTCTCGATATTATTCCTCCCATTTTGACTGAAAGAATCCTTTTCAACTCTCAATACCCTGTTTATTTGTTCATGAGAAACCCTTGTTTTTAATTACATGATATTCATAACTATACTCACATCATTACATTGCCAAGGAGGAAAGCATCGATTTCCCCACTGCTCGTAAAGTCATACTCAAGCGAAATTTTGGTAAACACAGTTCTCACTTGATAATTTTATCAAAGCACACGCCGGTTCGACACAGTCGGTGTACATGCCGGAAGTAGACGCAAAAACTTGGTCAATCAAAAGATGTCGCGTTCATGAGAAATGTGTCGCATTTTCATGAGTCAAAGTACACCACTGATCTCAGCATTTGTTTTCATATAATACGAGACCATGGAGTGCGCTGCGCGCACTGTGTGACGAATTTGTATTTAAATTTCCCGGGTGAGAACTAACCAAGTTCATGCCTATGCGATTAACCAATGAGGAATCAGTCTTACGAATTTCGAGATATTTCGACTCTAACGATGTTCATTTATGTGTATGACCTTTCATAAATAGGATTTCTCTTAACTCGAAATACGATAAGATTTACGATAAGATAAATAATGAGATATTTGGAAAAACAACACACTTTCTTAGCAACTAACTTCAAATGAGTTAGTGACCAATTAGTAGAGGCGCCAGTCGATAACGATGTATTCCAATTGGAATTTTTTTATTTCTCATTTATTGATAGAAAAACGGCAATTTTTGGAAGAAATCAAAGAGAAGTATGGAATTTTCTTCATTATAATCGTTCTATATGTGATTTTCATGAGATTAAGAAAGTGTTCGTTGCTTGTTTGTCATTTTGAAATTTTCTTTTCGGGAAAACTCAAAAACCACTAAACAGATATCAGCCAAAATCTAATCCGCTCCAAGTTGAATGAAAACCTATCGATTGAAAAAAAAAAGTCAAATCGGACAATTCGTTCACGAGAAATCGTTAACCAAAATTTTGACCACGTACATACCTAGTAACACACACACACACACACACAGACAGACATTTTGTTTAAAATTGTCTAGGAACATCGAAAAAACCTTGAAACATGGAGATATGATGGACAAATCGATTTTTGATTTTCGGGGCCATTACAATAACTTCCCTGCCGGGAAGTTAAAAACGAGACAAGGTACATGGAAAATACCTTTAGTTACATCATATAAATCACTGCCTAATATCAATCTAATCTCCCTTATTCTAACCCGCGTCAAGAACGTGGATTTTATCTTTACAGATTTTTTATTGAGCCCTGACTTGGCTTATTTCCATTAGTTTTTGTATTGTTTTTGTATTTTTTTTAAAGTTTTTTTTACGGAAGCCGTATCATTACCGTTTCCAGTACCCTTCGAAGAACCTTTGATCACTTAATTAACCGTTATTCAATTTTTCAAAACATTCTTTCGCAACCTCGTACTGTTCGTTTCAATAGAAAAGTATCCCTTACATCCGCCTCATAATTTGCCATGTTCAAAGAGAGTGGACTCGGTGTTTAACGACATTCTCCCCTTTTTTTTTTATCAAACTGCAAGTAGAGCCGAGTACCTCTCTGACATACGCACAAAAAAGAAGGGAAAAATGAGTGGATGGAGAAAAAAACACGACAAAGACCGTTGGAAGACCAAGTGAGGTCACATGAATGTTACGTGTACGTGAATTAAATTTAACCCCAACACAATGTACAAGGTAGAATGTAGCAGGTGAATAAAATGAAATGAAACTGTATAGGTTAAAGATAAAACGTTTTATCAAGAATTTACTTTTTTTTCGTAAATTGAGTAACGACATTATACTTTTATAAATTAGTACTTGGATTTTTTTACAGTCAACAAAAGGAATGAAGGTTATTTTGCAGGGACGTACCTATACACTTGTAGATTATATGGAATATTCAATAATCATTCACTATTTTATCCAAAAACCCAGGGGAACATGTTTTTATTCAAATTTAAACGTAATTATATTTGTATTTTCAATCGCATCAAATAACTTTTTCCATACACTGATAGAAAAAATTATATTTATTGAGATGTTACTTTCTTGGAATAAGTATTATTATATACTTGAACCAATTCCATATAAATAAGGTATTATGGTGAATATCAATTATTTCTTCTTGCGATACATTTACTTGAATCAAATGAAACAGTCCTTGGCTTCAAGTCACATGTATTCACCACAAAAATAGCTACATTGCTACATATAAATAAGGTTCTTCCCATCAAACACGCATGAAACTATAAGTAGAAAATTTCAAGAGACCTTTACTGTACAGGAGAAAATTGAAAATGAATAAAAAAATAAAAAAATAACAGTTTTCTTCATAGGAGATGATTACATTGAGCAATGAATTGAATGTTGTTTTCTCGAATGAAGTCGATGTTTAAATTGAGCTTTCCGTACATCACATAAATAGGGGGGCAGATAAAGAAGGGAACAAAATGTAAAAACCCGAAGGGTGTACATATGGAACCAAAAATAAAAATATAAATGTCTTTCAACTCAACGACATCTTATTACAATCTCAAAACTTTTTCCGCGTAACAATATTCATCCTGATTCGACATACAAAATGCTCACTTTAATTACAATTTACTTGGAATAACGTATGTTCGTGTTGATTCAGATAACAACGTATTGAGTCATGAGAATAATTTTGATTTTTGAGTAAACCGACGAATTTCTGCAGTTGGCAAACTTTTCACTAGAAACAAATCAAATACTCTCATTATTGCGACAAATAAACGGAACTTCAATTCTAGAGACGTTCGATTTCTCCCAATCAAATGTATCTCAAGAAGAGATAACTGGTCCTCACTATGGAATCATGTTCATTTGGAAATGAACAACTGAATGATAATTGGTTCAAATGAAATTCTCTTGATAAAATTAATTTTTTCTGTCAGTATGAGATATTCCACAGAAAGTGTCAACGATTTAAATTCGAATTTTCCCTAGGAATAATGAGTTTTAATGGTGAAAAGTGAAAAATGACGTTTTCCAAATATTTTTTTTTTTTTTAAAGTTGCAACAATTTTACACAAACTCCATGCGTAAAAACCGGTCTTTTAGAAAGTATAAAGAATTTATATGGAATGAAGAAATGATTTATTCTATGCAATGAAAACAATGTCGAACAAAAAGATTATCGG